CACTAAAACAATTACCAAACCCCGTGATCGATTCGAGACAAAATGCTGCTCCGATACTATCGTATCGGGCAGCTAAATTTGGGTTATAATAGGAAACCCTACTTTTAATAATGAACTTGGCCTGAAAAATTCGATCAAAATATGTAATATGGCACATTTAATGGGGCGAGTTATTTTGGGACGCGTATGGTCGTTATTTTATGTCAAAAAACAAATTTCAAAAAAAAAGGGTAACGCCCACGTGCGTTACGCGCCAATACAGTATACATCATTACACAATTCTTGAATGTGTGCCAGGATGTGGCGCATTAATCAGCCACATCAATATTTTTTATTTCAGTACGCTCGTAAAATTTCTTTTTGAATGAACCTTCTTATAAAATTTAATTCAATGCCATGCTAAAAAAATTTTTGTCATTTTTTTAAATACATATTTAGAAATTCAATGAACATTCGAATATTGGTCAAAATTTTTCACAAATGCTCTAAAAGTGAAACTCCTTAAACAATAAGGAACATTACTATGATTCTTTTTTAAGAACGATTCAGTATAGATTATAAGAACCCCTTTTTTCATTTAAAGAATTTTTTATCAAATTTTTTAATTGGAACAATAAATTACTTGGGTTGATTAATGTGCCACCAACCTGGCACATGTTCAAAACTGCCTTATCATAAAACAAATATGTCACTAATTTAATTCGAAATCAGAAACCTAAACATTAATTCTAAATCATCTTATTATTTTCTAAATAGATGCTATTCATTTAACACAATCTTTGTCTGCCCCGTCGAATGATGAAACCTGTAAATTTACCGCAAAAAAAAAAAGTTTAGTGCTTAAAAGGGGGTTATTATATTGCGCTTTAAAAATTTCAATTGCAAACTTTATTATTAATAATGTATGGGTTAATAAAATAATCGAACTTTATTTAAAAACGATTAATAAAGATTTTGAGCTGGAACTTGAATGTTATTGAATATAAACATATTTTAAAATATCCCAATTTATTCAATATTTATAATAACTAAATAAATTCTTTTAATCATTCGAATAAATAAATAAATAAATAAATAACTTGGATTATTTCTTTTTCGAAAAATTGTGATTTATGTTGATCAAATTTTAAGCAGCAGGTACTGATTTTGGTGGCGATACTAGGTGGAATCTTCCACTTAAGTTATTAAAATTCAACACATATAATTTATAATAATTAGCCAGGAGCGCCCCAGACTCTTATAATAGTTTTATAAAACCTATAAAGTTACTAGTTACGATTTAAAGTTTCGTCGCACATCGAATCAAAATATTTATTATAGCGCTTTTGCAAAAAGATGTGACCCCGTGATTTTTGTGATGATGAACGAGGAAAATTTCCGAGAATCTAATTGTCTATTAATTCATATTTTCGATCAGTTATATTTATTTTAAATTGGTTAAAATTCTTAAAATGGGGATTCAGAATTAATGATTTATTCAGCGTCCGATTTCAGATAAAATAAGTGACGTATTTATTTCAAAAGAAGCGACGTACAAATTCCATTTTTTTTTAATGTACTTATAATCGTGTTTATCGATGAATGTTTATCAAAAAAAAAGCTAATTTTATCACCGGTTATGCCTATTTAATTTTCTGATTCGGAATTCTAAAAAAGAATCCTTTTAAACTCCCAGTTATTTTGAAAGAAAGTTAATTCTGAAACCCCAATCTACAGAATCTACGATTTTTACACGAACATTGTGATCTGCAGACATCTTTTTGCAAAGCGCAATAATTAAAGTATTAAAATAATTGTTAAACTTCGTACAATATGCTTTATAATCATTTTGGGATGTTTATTATTTCGAAATTTAACGCTACCATTTTCTCAATAAATAGCTGATATTAGCCATAATGCTAAATGATTTTTGTCAAAATCTCCTTTTAAAAAAATATCTCTAAAAGTCGTACTGTACGTACCAGAACTATTTCGAATACATTTTTATTTTTATTATATTTATTAATATGTATGATTATAACTTTAATTATTGTCACTGAAAGTAGGGTTCCGCATGGGCCGGATATTGATCCAGCCCACTAAAAAAATGTACCAAATACAGTACTTATATCCAAATCTAGCCCATATTTAATTTGATAAATCCAAGCCCAGCCTATAGTTGTCAGATCAAACCTTTTTTGCTTGATGATGAAAGTCGAAACCTAAGCTTTAAATTACAAACTTCTGCCGAAAGTCGAAATCTTAAATCCTTCTGACGAAAGTCGAAACCCTCAAATCCTTCTGACGAAAGTCGAAACCTAAACTTGAAATGACGAAACCCTAGTGCTCCCGCTAAAAAAAAAAAGAAAAAAAAAAAAAGAAGTGAAGATTACTAAAAAAAATCTGTTATTAACAAAACTCTGGTGTTCCTGTTAAAAATTGATGAAAAATCTATGTTTTCGACAAAGCAAAACTATCAATATAAATAAGCTATTGCTATAAATTTATATATTTAAACAAAAAACAATGATTTATTATTGAGGCTTTTAATTTATATTTAATGCTGAAGACGTTTATTGACTTGACTTGGCTTGTATATTTAATTTTTAAAAGCCAATTACAAAATTATAAATAGGTAATAGGCCATTAACATCTCTCGAACTATTTAAACAAACACAAATATAAATATAGATGTATTATGATGAATTTAGTAAATTAGATTCAAAAAAAATTTTCACTAGAAAATTATAAGATACGGTAATAAAGTTTAACATCATAATATTGTAATAGTAAAATAAACTCATCGATGAAATTGTCGGTTTTATGAAGTGATATAATACGGATCTCTTTATTAAGTTTCTTACTTAACTGGCAAAAGTATTACAATAGTCAAAGATCTTATTAATTTATTGTCTGTGCTAATTTGTCTTTCATTCAAGTCAATTTAGCCAATAGGCATAAAAAAATGGGAATTATACCAGGAACGTAGTGATATGCAATATCACGAAGTTTGTGCGTCCGCAAAATCTCATATCTGATTGGGCAATGTGCTAAATGCAGTAAAAAAGGGAATATTTGTGCTTAAACATCACGAAATTCATCACATACTACCATATTTATATCTTGTATGAGATTTGTTTACCATAAGAGCGATCTTTAACAGGTTTTTTGTCTCGATTAAAATGCATGATGATCATTTATAAAAATGCGCTTGTTTTTATTATTGTCTTTCAAAATTCACTAGCCAAATGTGGATTTTTAGCGCAAAAGTCTTGAATCTAAGCTGTAATGGCTGAAATCAGTTCACATGACTCTTTCTTCATTACAACCATTTCTTTGTTTATTGTAAAAAAAAATAATTAGTAATCCAACCTTAACGAAAAGCATTCGCATTACATGACATTTGTGTTTATTTGGACTATGCTGGCAAATAATTTAGGCTGGAGGTGATTTTTATTGAAATAGCAGAAATGTGCTAGAGAAGCAACTAACCGAGTTGGCCAGAACGGCAAAGACACCCCGCAACAAAGCAATCGTAATTGCACTGGGAGTTGCCATAGGATTATTGTAGCCGGTGGGGCCATTCCCCGCCTGCTGAAGCAAGCCGGCTGTGAGTGAAGAATGCAAGCGAAGAAATGCAAGTGAGAAAATGATAGAATCACGTGTCTTCCAAAGTTTATGATTCTATCATTTGTTCACAGTTTTTTTTTTTTTTTTTTTTGATTGGTGATGCTGAGGCCGGTTATGCTCACATGCCTTCTTTTTATTTTATTATTATTATTATTTTTCACATATGACATGAAGACCGAACGTCTTCCAAAGATGTTGGTTTGTTTAGTGAGGTCTGCTTGTTATATGCCTATGATAGTGCCTTTGTGTTTTGATAGAATATGAATAACGTGGCTGCCATGGTTGGATCTTCCCCCTTTTTTTTTTTTGAGTCACTATTCCTTTACGTTGCTGTCTTATATGCGTCCAATCTTTCTTTTTACTGCGAAGCTTATTGGATTTGATTAATATTAACATCTGGAATTCATGATATTTCAACATGTTGGTAATATCTTTTGGATATGAGTATGTGTAACTCATCTCTATCAGATTTGTTGCGACCAAGATTGGTTGGTCGACTTGTATGTCATTGTTAATGCGTGGCGTCATATGTCCTGAGCCATCTTGCGATTGCACTAGATTTTGTTATTGATGGTCTAGATTGGCATTCTGTTTTTTTTTTTTTTTTGTTGGACGCATTCCAGCACTAATAGTGCTGGATATTCAAACTTTATTAAAGAGATATATAGCATATATCAGTGCATTTGATGTATAATTGAAGAGATATATAGCATATATCAGTGCGTTTGATGTATAATTGAAAGAGGTATATAGCATACATCAGTGTGATTGATGTATAATTGACCGAGATATATAGGATATATCAGTGCATTTGATGTATAATTGGCATTAGTTGGTAGTTTCCCACCCACATAATTGCAGGCCGGCTGTTAGCCAGAAGCTTTGTAGTCACATGATCTTGGCCGGTGGTTTCCCACCTGCATAACGCAGGCCGGCCATAAAGAGACATTTAAGCTGGCACAAAATGGCAGGATTCTACGTAGATTCCAAATAATTATAATAGTAGAATATCTTGCATAAGCCGCAAATGCCATCTGATGAACATCCCCAAGCTTTAAACTAATGGTAGCTATACATCTTGCGGTACTTATCGGTCTAGTCACCAGCAAAGCTATAGTCTACTATCTTGGCATCTGATAGGTATAATTTGAGATTATTGTTACCCAGCTCATGGTGACCAAGCTCCTGTAACCTTAATAAAGTGCCTCTCTTAGAGTGTAAGGTCATCTGTGTTGGTTTGATTATTTATATTGGGCGTATAACTGTCTTATGTTTTTTTTTTTTTTTTTTCTATAGTCGACTTGTTGCGAACGTGTTTGTGCTTGTCTTTTCAGGTTTAAAGTTTAAGGCGCGTTTAAACTCTAAATCTATTAGTGATTCTTTGTATTTATTTATTTGTTTATTTTTTTTTTATTATGCGATAAGTTTCTCCACATTGTTTAATGCAAAATGCGTTATTGGATCAATTTCTAATGATTTAATTAAATTGTCAATGATTCTTCGTATCTGTTTATTATGCAATAAGTTGCTCCACGCTCTTAATGCAATGCCCTATTTGGATTAATTTCTAATGATTTATTTAAATCTGCTAGTGATTCTTCATATCTGCGTATCATGCTATAAGTTGCTCCACGGCTTTCTAATGTGAATGCATTATTTGGGTTAACTTCCAATGATTTATTTATCAATTCATCATGCGATAAGTCACTACATGGTTTGATAATGTAAATGCATTATTTGGATTAATATCTAATGATTTATTCAAATCGGCTAGCGATTCTTCGTGTTTGTTCATCATGCGGTAAGCTTCTCCACGCTTGCTAATGTAAATGCATTATCTGGATTAATTTCTGATGATTTATTTAAATTCGTTAGTGACTCTTTGTATTTGTTCACTAGGTAAAAGCTACACCACGGGGTCTTAATGTGGATGCATTATTAGAATTAATTTTTTAATAATTTCTTTAAAACTGCTAGTGATTCTTCATAGTTTTTCATTATAAGGTAAGTTACTCCACGATTTTCTAATGCAAATGTATTATTAATATCTTAAAATATATTATACTGCAGTTTTTAATACAAATGTGTTACTCAGATTCGTTTCCAATGATTTATTTAAATCTGTTGGTGATTCCTCGTATCTGTTTATTATGAGACAAGTGCCCCACGGTATGCTAGTATTTTGTATTATTTGAATTAATTTCTAATGATTTGTTTAATCTGCTAGTGATTCTTCATATCTGTTCATCATATAAGTTATCCCATATTCGCTTAATGCGCCTGCATCATTTGAATTAATTTTTAATGATTTATTTAAATTTGCTAGTGATTCTTTATATCTGTTCGTCATTTGATAAGTTGTTCCGCATTCATTTAATATGTCTGCATTAATCTCTGAAATCTGCTAGTGATTGTTCATATCTGTACATCATACGATAAACTTTGCCACGGCTTGCTAATGCAAACGCGTTAGTTACCAGAAGCAATTTTTAATGATTTATTTAAATCAGCTGGTGGTTCTTTATGTCTGTTTATGTTGCAATAAGTTGCACCACGCTCTGCTAATATAATTGCATTATTTGAGTTAATTTCTAATGATTTGTTCACATCCGCTAGTGATTCTTCGTTTCTGTTCATATTGCGATAAGCTACTCCACACTCTACTAATATTATTGCATTAATTGGGTTTATTTTTAATGATTTATTTAGATCTGCTAGTGATTTTTTGAATCTGTTCATCATCCTATAAGTTACTCCACAACCTGCTAATGTAAATACGTGACTTGGATTAACCTCTAATGATTTATTTAAATCTTTAATAATTCTTTGTAGTTGTTCATCATGCGATAAGTCACTCTCCCTTAATGTGTCTGCATTATTCAGATTGATGCTTAATAATTTATTTAAATTAGCTAGCGATTCTTCGTACTTGTTCATCTCAAAATATGTTGCACATGATTTTTTAATGCAAAAGCATTATTTAAATTAATTTCTAATGATTTATTTAATTTTGCTACTGATTCTTTGTATTTATTTATCTTAATATATGTTGCACCATAGTATGTTAATGCAAAAGCATTATTCAAATTAATTCTAATGATTTATTTAGATCTGCTAGTGATTCCTTGTACCTGTTTATCATAAACTAATTTGCACCACAGTATGCTAATGCAAATGCGTTATTCAGATTGATACTTAAAGATTCATTTAAATCTGCTAGTGAATCTTCATATCTGTTCATCATAAGATAAGTTGCCCCACGTTTATTTTAGTGCGTTTGCATCATTTGGATTATTTTTTAATGATTTATTTAAATTTGTTAGTAATTCTTCGTATTTATCCAACATGCATGCATTATAGGGTCTAATTTCTAAAAACCGCTAGTGATTCTTCGTATTTATTCATCTTAAAATATGTCGCACCACGGTATGCTAATGCAAAAGCATTATTTAAATTAATTTCTAATGATTTATTTAGATCTGCTAGTGATTCTTTGTATCTGTTCATTATAACCTAATTTGCACCACGCTATGCTAATGCAAATGCATTATTTGGATTGATTCTTAATGATTCATTGAAATCTGCTAGTGATTATTCATATTTGTTCATCATAAGATAAGTTGCCCCACGTTCATTTAGTGCGTTTGTATCATTTGGATTAATTTTTAATGACTTATTTAAATCTGTTAGTAATTCTTCGTATTTATCCAACGCGCATGCACTATCTAGTCTAATTTCTAATGATTTATTTAAATCTGCTAATAATTCATCATACCTACTCATCATGCGATGAGTTTCTCGATGCAGATGCATCATTTGGATCAATCTCTAATGATTTATTTAAATCTGCTAGTGATTCTTTATATCTATTCGTCATGCGATAAGTTATACATAACATGGATTGATTTCTAATGATTTATTTAAATCTGCTAATATTTGCCTATTATATGATAAGTTGTTTCACAAATTGCTAACGCCGGTGTCTTAATTGGATCAATTAATTTCTCATTTTAATTTTTATTCATATGATTTAAGGTACTCTCAAGCACATAAATTATAGATCGAAACTCGATTTTTAATTGTTGGAAAGCAGTTTAACCGGTAAGTAGGTTCATTATCGCAATAAAAAAAATAAGTTTGAAGCATTTTTTTTTTGTCATAGAAGGGATCGTTTCAATTAATCATAGTACTATGAATGATATTGATAGCTATCTAATCACATTGAGTACTCTTAGTCTAAGTTTAGTAATTGTTCATTGGTCTAATTGATTTAAGTATTTAATATGAGCTGTTCACATTTCTTATTCACATTATACAGATTGAATCAATAAATATTGGGTGCAATACTGTTCATGATATGTACCCAATAGTCTGCATAGATCCGTCAAATACTTGCTGAATATCAGCTGCCTTTTGGCATCATTTTGGCAGCATATTGGTAAGATATTAGGAGGTAAATCGATATTAGCAACATAACAGCAAAATATTGGGATATCCCGATCTTACTTTTAGGCCCAGAGTACTAAGAGTAAGATATCTGGGTATCCCAATATTGTGCTATTATGTTACTGATATCGATCTATCTTCCGATATCTTACTAATATGATGATAATATGCTGCAGGTATTTGGCGGGTCGATGGCAGTATATTTCAGGAAACTTGCCTCCCGGCATGCACCCGATATTTATTGGTTCAACTTGTGTTAGTCTATATAATTATCATCTGCCAAGATTATTTATTACTATAAATGGATCCATATAGTATAGGGTGTGAAATACTCCTACTCCTATTTTTAATATTTGGGGGCTTTGCAGTAGAAAGGGCGGATACGACCCCAAAATGAAAAAATGAGTTTTCATTAAATTCTGGTAAATTTCAATGTGAACAACATTTTTCAATTATAAATGAAAGTCAATTTGCATAATAAAAAATCAAGATAAGTAATGTAAAAGAAAGTTGCGCGAAGTTGAAACCAAGCGCATCACGAGATTACCCGTTAGTCACATGTTATATTTAGCCAATCAAAATTGTGAATTTTGATTAACCCGGATCAGTCCGAAAATCAAAACAAGTGATTAAACTCAATTATCTCAAAATTATATATATTGACGTATCCGCCCTTTCTACTGCAAAGGCCCCATTTGTTCTGGCATTATGTATTATTAAGGTTAGCATTGGAAAATTGTAGTGAATTGTTATAATATATTTTTTAAAGAGGTATTTTACACTCTATACTATATACATCTAAAAATCATAAAATTCTGTTTGTTTAAATTATAGTGTCCCATATCAATATAGTTCTGCTGTATTTAGTTTTATACCTGATATTTTATTTATCTGAATTTAAAACTATTACTTATATAACTATTCTGTATTGGAGTTGTTGTCCGTTCCTGGTTTAGTGCGACAATGTCGTGCAGCTACTTATACTTTGTTAATTTTAATATTTATTAAGTTTTGATAAGTGTCGTAGAGTTAAGCAATCACCATAGTGACTGCTATATGACCCAGACGGTTTATTTGATTTAAGGTCTCGCTTGGCAACTAGAGACACACACACTTTTCAACGACACTCTACGCTCTTTATATAACGTTTGTATTTACTTTAACCACTTCGTTTTCTCAATTACCAGTCGAAAGACTGTTTTATTCTTTATTTACATTTTGCTATTTTAAGCGATTCTAACAATTACATATTCTGTACTACAGTTTAACTATTTCTTTGTTATTAATTAATTTAACTTTTCATTGTTCCCGACTTAATCGTCATATTCATACAATTGATAATCAAGGTACCTATTGTACCTGATCTTGCATGTGCCGCCCACATCCTGATTCACCCACTACTCCGATCGATCACGTAATCATGTGAATCGATCGATTCATACTTTCATTGACCCTTCTTACTTCCGGTTTCACTAATCAATTCTATATCAATTTGTATACCTTTCACCGAGTATAGGGGCTGTTCATAAACTATGCGACATGAGCTGGACCCCATTGGTCCTTGTCCTCAAGGACCATGTCATTTTCATCTGGAACTTCTTCATCTAGAATTGTAGACTCATCATTTCAGATAAACAACTTCTTCACTCTATTTTGCATTACTGGATCCTTCAATTCACTTCCATCAAGCTCATCAACATATACTTGTTCATATTTTCCAACTCTTCGAACCTTATATGGACCAATCCATCAATAATTCGGTTTTTGGGGCATTGTTTCTA